GTGTATTTTTTTTATAGTGTGTTTCAACACTAGTTGAACTGTATGAAACAGAACAAGGCAGCAGTCCTGTTTTCTATACCACATCTTTTTGAAAGCTGGATTAGGTATCTCTTTTCAGCAATGCATTTTACTGGTTGCACTAGTAGAAAAGAGCTATTTCTTTTCCAATGAAAAGAAACATCCACAGATGTTTCAGATAGGTAAGCAGTTTACCAATGGGCTTATAAGGTTAAAGCAATTTAAGTTAATATTTCAGTAGAAAAAGAAGTGCCTTGCAATAAATAAATAAATAAATGAACAGATAAAAGCAAAAATCAGGCACCATTTAGTAGTTCCAGGAATTATTATTATGCTCTGAAAGCTTGTTTTCAATACATAACACGCAATAAGACTTGTACAAAAAGATTGGTGGAGATATGCACTCCTTTTGAATGTCAGAGAGGTTTCAAGTGGTTTTACAGATTTTCTTTAGCAGTGTGGTGGGTTGACCCTGGCTGGATGCCATGTGCCCACCAAAGCGCACCTTCCCTTCTTCCTGAGCTCAGCTTTACTCCTGAGCACTTTACCTTCTTCCCACCAGTGGTCCAGGAGGACGGGGAATGGGAGCTGTGGTCAGTTCATCACACGTTGTCTCTGACATTCCTTCCTCCTCACACTCTTCCCCTGTTTCAGCATGAGGTCCCTCCCATGGGAGACAGTCCTCCAGAAACTAAGAAAAAATGTGACCAGTCCCTTAAGACACAGGCAAATGGACATTTGCTTGGAGTAAGAGAGCAAATCTAGCATCAGAAAGTCCAGAAGGAAAAACAGGGGAAAAAAGCAGGAAAGGACATGGCATAACAGGAAAAGAGTTTAAATAGATAGGAAGGGATCCCATCTGTCAAGATTAAAGGTTGACATATCTGTACAGTAGGTTCTGAAAAGAAGAGGTTTAAGGGATTATCAGGATTTTGGAATTACTGGATTCTCTCTGACATAACAACCTACATCTTGGTCTAGGTCCGTGTGTCCCCCCCCCCCCCCCCCCAGTCTTCATGTATTATCTGGCTATCCACTGTACTATCTCATTATCCAAGTCAATGGAAAGATTTCATTTTTCTCTGATGAAACTTAAAAAAGCCATTCCTGTGCTCACATACATATTTGGGTTACATTTATTTGTTCTTCTGCCTCCCTCCAGTTCTTTGGTTCTGATGGTGGCACTTTCTTTAAGGGGCTAGACATTGATATTCTCAATTACTTTATTTTTTAGTGATCACTCTAAGAAAACTTAGGAGCTGCTGGGCAAAAAAAACAAACAAACAAACAAACAAAAAAAAACAAAAACAAAAAAACAACAAAAAGCAATAAACAAACCCACAAAAAACACCACTCCCAAAAAGCTTACACTTTCTTCTAGATATCATTAAAGGCTGTTTATGACTATGATAGTCCTGGGATAACGGTCGGACTTGATGATCTTAAAGGTCTTTTCCAATTTATTTGACTCTATGATTTTATGATCTTCAAGCCATAGACTAAAATTCCAGTCCAATCTGCCATTATTGCTTTAATCTGGTATTATTATACCAAAATCCTAAATTTATTCTTAAAGGGTTGAGAAAAAAACATTACTGTTGTAGCTCTATGAATTTTTATGAATCATCTGAGCTGCAGTCATTGACCGTAGACACACTTTTACCTCCTTGCAAATGCTAGAAAAGCATGTTAGCTTAATTGAATTTTAAGCTAGCTCATTTTTCTTTGTGTTTCTGGCAGGCTAAGAGCTAGCACATGATCAATTACACTGGTCTGGTACCGTACCGTAATTCATTCAGCCAAAGCTCAACTGTTTCTTTGAGCCCTGATACAGGCCTCCTGAAGAAAGTTAACTAAACAGTACAAAGCACAGGTGCCTTGATAAACTTATATATTATAATGCAAAGTTTTGAAGATTTTCAGAGGGTTTGTAAGAAGAAGTGGTGGGCATAGGACTAGCCCGAGACATAGAATAGGTTTGATGTCCCAAGCAGAGCCCAAACCTAATGAGAGTGATGAATTTAGATGATGCATGTGTAAGCAATTTGGGACTTTATCTACTATCACTTACTCTCTATGGCAGATTTAAGAGGGGGAAACTACTTTTGGAAAATGACCTCTTCTTAATTCAGTTTTTATTTTGATTATGTTTATTAAATGCCTATAGCAGTTTCTAGATAATGTGTTTTAAACAAAAAAAAAAAAAATATCAGATATTCCACAAGGCACATAAAATGCTATAAGTCTGTGAAAGCAATGTTCAGAAAACTATTTTTCTGTAGTTGCACTGAGCTAGCATCACAGGGAGTCATGAGGGATGGAAAAGCTGTTGTTAGATTATCCATTGCAGTCCAATCAAATCATGATGTCTCATATTCCTAGGGATGTAACAGAATGAAAATGTTTAAAGCCTTCTGGGCTGTGTTTGATGCTGCGTGAAGCCTACAGAAGGGACTAGCAGTTGCATGCAAAGGAGCTCATTTAAATGAGTTTCTTATTCCTGTGTGACTCTTTCTTTTGTTCTGGATGTCTGCCGCGCTGCCATGCTCTTATTTTTTTTTTTTTTTTAATGCATTGGCAGGATGCAGTATGAGAGTTCCTTCATTCATAGGTATGCAAGATAGTGATGAAAAGCCCTGGGGTTGACTCTCATCATGCTGTCAGTTTAACGAAAGAGCCTCCTTCCACCTCCCTCTGGCTCATTCCACTGTGAAAATGAAAATCAGCAAATCCACAAGCACTTTGGAAAATGTTGCCTGTATTCAGTTTCCTTTTCTGTAAAAGGAGAATAGTGCCTTCCACATCTCCTGGGATTGTAAGAACTGATTCAGTAGTCTCAGTCAGATGCTTTGGGTACCCTTTATGGGAAGCACAGACAAAGTTCAACATATGGACCGTTATTAGTCCCCTGATAATGTTTGGTAATATGCTGAGTTAAGTACCATTAATTACAGTGCTACTTATGTGGCTGAATCCCAATGCACTGTTATAATTTACTACCTTATCTATATACAGCTATACTTTTAATTGGATAATCAAAATTACGTTATTTCAAAAAAGCCGTTTATTTCCTTTTTGTAACTACATTTATGCAGGTTATTATAGTCCAAGTAGTACAATAGGCTGAGTAATCAATACTTACAAGTTTTTATTTTAATGTGAAAGTAGCCAAGAATTAAGTTAAAGAATGCGGGGTATAAAAAAAAAACACAAAACAAACAGAAGCAAAAAAGGAGATATGTACACACACATCAGTTTCACACCATGATAAAAACTGGAGGTGGGATCTGGACCTTTAAATCCATTTTTGACTTTTGTGTGGCAGAATTGTGCCTAGGATAAAGAATACTTTATTTCTTAATTTAATACTACATTCATTTTAAAGCATTATGTGGAGTTCTGTTGAAATTAGGATGCAATTAAATTATCTAAGCATCTTCCACCATAGGAAATTTAAAGCATTTAGGTTATAAGATTGCTGATGCTAAAGACTTGCGAGAAATGCAAGTCAACTTGCATTCTGTACTGAAGGTATCATGACATAAAACTTATTATTTGAATAAAAATAAAGAAATATGGGTATTGATTTGTTTAATGACCAACTCTATTGAGTTTTTACCAGCAGTAGGAATATGATTTAGGAGAGTTTTGTCATATGTTTAGAAAACCCTCAGAGTGCTGTTGGCTACTGTGTTATCCCGACAGGCTGGTCTCCAGTGTCCAGTTATGTTGTTATATATAACAAGCACATATGTTCTGGCTTCAATTCTAGTTGAAGCCTTCAACTTCCTTGTATTGAGCACCTGTGCAGGATTATTTAGATTCTTTAGAGCAAATTTGCGGAAAAACTCTACTAAGTGGGTTTTATAACCACGCATCTGTCTGATCCTCTAAAAGATTGTCTTGCATCCTATTTCTTTGTCTGCTTCTGAAATGTTGCTTAAATAAGCCGAAATTGAAGAAAGAAAGTGAATATGAAAATCAAATTGAAACATTTCTGGGTTTTTTAATTCTCTGTTTGTAGCATTTGACAGCTGCAAGGAATTGTATGAGAGAGAAAAAAATCAAAGGCTTGAGTATCAATATCTTTGCTTACAAACTACTATTACTTAGTAATCATGCTTGTTTAATAACCCCAGCTTGGAGCACATGATCCATAGGAACAAATAACTGAGTATATAAAAACCTGTAGCTTGTACCCAAAGGTGGGGGCTTTATATCATGAATAATATAGAGTATTTAAATAAATATTTTGTAGTTTGGACATAAGGAAGAAAAAACTGCCTAATAAGGACCTTAAACATATGGTATTATTGCTACTAGATTAAGAATAAATGATGTTCAATACTTCTGGACTAAGGATAAATGATGTTCAAATAATATGAAATGCTTATTCATGTTTAGTGATATAAAAATAAAACTTCATTTCAGAATGTTCATATTCTTTTTCTCTTTGCTGTTTATTATTTATGCTTATGAACAGTGAACTTGGGATCCTAAAGCTGAGATTCATTTAAGAAAATTAAGTTCAGTTTGTGTTACGAAAATGGCTCCATGGAGAAAGGTTTAACTTAGGTTAAGATGCCCAACTTAGAAACCACAGAAATAGAAACTAGACCCATGTAACTTAAATGACTAACCACAAAGCTTGACATATGAATTCCAAATATCAAGTAATAAACAGAATACTTGAGTGTATCCGTTAAATCTATTTGAGTACATTTTCATAATGAATAGCTTCATAAAATGTAGCACTCCTAGCAGACAATTTTGCAAACAGGAAGGAGGCTGCATTCACCCCATAATTTGCTTGTAGTGAGCAATTTTAACCAGTTTTACAATGGTGAATAAAATTCCATGAATGGTCAAACTTTCCATCAAGAACATAGAGAAAAAGTGATTAGTTTTGCAATATTCTTGGATTTTGCGAGTTAATCTTTTAATCAGACATATAACATAGGTTTTATGTGTTCTCCTGACAGACCAGCAGTACTCATGGTCACCTTCTCAGCACTTCAATGAAGAAAGATACTCTCCTGCTTCGAGGAATATGAAAGGATTATCTAGTAGTCGCAACCAACCACAGTTATGTTCAGCTCATACCTGTGGCTTAGCATCCCCTGAAGATTGTGAACACACCCACGACCATATTCACCATGGGCAGGAGCCAAGGCAATCCTATCTTCTCAGCCCCACGGAGAGCTGCCCGATGGACCACCATCGTTGCTCGCCACGCAGCTCCATTCATTCTGAATGCATGATGATGCCCATGGTAATGGGCGATCACATGTCAAGTAGCACTTTTCCCAGAATGCACTACAGCTCACATTACGACTCCAGAGACGACTGCGCCATGTCTCACGGTAACCCTAAGATTAACCGTATTCCTGCAAACCTTTTGGACCAATTTGAGAAACAGCTTCCTCTTCACCGGGATGGGTTTCACACTTTACAGTACCAGAGGACCTCAACAGCTGCGGAACAACGCAGTGAGAGCCCGGGAAGAATACGCCATCTTGTTCATTCAGTCCAGAAACTTTTTACTAAATCTCATTCTCTGGAAGGATCATCCAAGGGCAACGTTAACGGAACAAAGGGAGACAGTCGAGGGGATGACCATCATCATGGGCACCATTCCAAGCACAGCAAAAGGAGTAAAAGTAAGGAGCGAAAACCAGAAAGCAAGCATAAATCTGGAATGAGCAGCTGGTGGAGCTCTGATGATAATTTGGACAGCGATAGCACTTACCGTACCCCTAGTGTGGTAAATAGGCACCATGCAGATCATATATCCCATTGCTATCCTGAGGCACTCCAGGGGCATTTCGGGGATCTCTCATTGAAGACTTCCAAAAGTAACAATGATGTGAAGTGTTCAGCTTGTGAAGGGCTAGCTATGACCCCTGATGGTAAATATATGAAAAGGAGTTCTTGGTCCACGCTTACAGTAAGTCAGGCTAAAGAAGCATATCGCAAATCATCACTGAACTTAGATAAGCCTCTGGTTCATCAGGAAATCAAACCTTCCTTGAGGCCATGCCATTACCTTCAGGTAAGAGGAAGATTTTCTTAAGATTTGTAATGAAAAAGGATCACAGTTTATGCCATAGTTATCAAAAACAACACAAGGATAATCTGTATGTCTCTATGGCTCACCTAGTGCAGATATTCCATGAAAGTGAGAAAACTAACTTTTGTCTTTGTTTATAGAGACAGATTAAAAACTGTAAAACTGCTGTGATATAAATTAAAGTCAGTGGATGTGTTTTCATCTTTGGAGCTCACACTGAACATCTTGATAAAATCCATATGTCAGAGTAAAAAGGGGCAGTTCTCCCAGCAGTCTGCAGGCTAGAAAAAGTGTTTTGAATGCATCTGTGTATGAGCAATCTTAAAAACAGGCTGTGTGGAATCCTGGTTTTGTGTTCTTTTATGCCTTTTGTCCATGTGTTTGTTAAATTACAGGAGAATGGGTTTGCTGGTTTATTCAGTTGCTTTATTGTGAGGATGGCTACTCACAAACTTCCTTTTAGTGACTGGGTCACCCAAGATCATATTGAACTGAGCCTGTTTGAGACCATACTATAAGCTATCCTTGTTAAAAGTTACATGGGTACTTTAGGGAGATAAATATTTCAGGCTGGCACTCAGACTATTTGTGGTGATGTTCAGCACACTTGTTTTCTCTAGCAGCAACCAAGATGCTCCCTCTTTCTCCTACATTTAAACTTATACCTGCTGCTTGCTGCCATTTGCTACTCTAAAGTCATACTAATTATGATGCTGCATCATGATCTGATTCATTAAGTGATATGGGTATAAAAATAGAGCTTCCAAAATACTTTTTATAGACATTTACATTGTTAATATGGCTTAGGTACAGCACAGTGCCATGACAAGTGATGTTAGCATGTCAGAGTGTACAGAGAACTGCAGTGGGAGCAGAGCAGAAAGGAGTGAATAGCTGGGATGATAACATCTTCAGTAAGCTTTGCTGCTGGAAAAAAAAAATGATACACAAATTTTCACTTAGGTATTTTTACCAAGTACAGCCTACAAAGCCCACATTGTTCTGAGTACCTCCTCTTTTATTTCTTTTTAAGGAACTTGTCATTATTCATCGCTTAACTGATTCTCACATTAACATTGGAAGCCTCCACTTCAGATTTATGCATTTCAAGATTTTTCAGTTCCGGTAGGATCTGCAGAAACCAGCACAGACTAGCGACAACTGTTGTACTTATTGTGTAGGGTTCTCTCTCCTCTGAGCTATAGGGGTCCAATAGTAATGAGACACACTTGAAGAGACAGATCTTTTCAAGTACATATGCAGATATCCAGGATCAGTCTCCCCTTCTGAAACACAGAAAGTTCCTTATTACAGAGAAAGGAAAATGAGATTGCAACCCTCATAGCATTACCATGCAAATTTATTCTGATTTTGTCTGGCAGCTGTGATATTTTCTCATATCCAAGTACAGTTATCATGTATCTAAACCAATCTGTTCTTTCCTGGAAATTTTTAATCTAACTCAACAAGACGAAACTGGAAGTGCATCCTATGCAGAGACTTACATGTGCATCTGTGTTCTAAAACCACATGTACAGCTCCAACACTGCAGAGAAGGCTAGCTTTTTGCTTACCATGGCATACTCCTACACAGGCAGCTCTGGTTCCTCTACATCTTTGCCAAATTTTGTGCTTTCCTTCTCATCATGTTTCACTGTTTCTTCTTCCTCCTTCTTTAGATCTCATTTTATTTTGCAGAACCACTGGTTTTCACTTTTTATGGATCACCTTCTTCCTCCCAACTTGTATCAGCATCCTCAAGTGAATGTGAAACACTGAATTCACAAACTAACCTGCTTATTGCTAAGCTTTAGATCAAGCTCAGTGGCAAGCCTAGGGAGCATTCATTGTTTTAACAATGTTAATAATGTTCATCCACTGGTAGGTTCATCCATCTTAAAATCTAGGCGAAGTGAACTTAAATTTTTGCTGAGACTTTATGATCTTTGGTTTTAAGCCCTTTTACAGCTAAGATAGTTGCCATTCCCTATTCACAGGGATCCTATAATGGAAATTTTTTAAGACTTGAGTAAGCAGTTACTGCCATAAAGAATCTATAGCCATGTTCAAACCAATAATACCAGGAATTCTATAACATGAATAGTCTCATTACAAAATAATAAAATAAAATATATGTTCTGCAAAATCTGAATATACCATTCAGACCATAGATATCTTTCAGACTGAGTAGATGGCTTATTCACTAGCCTAAGGTCAGCAAACAAAGGGACCCTGCTCTGTCAATGTCATAACTAAATGCTTAGTTTGGAAACTTCTGCTTTGAGGGATGCTGTGCTGTCACACTGTAGTCATTAAGACCAGAGATATAAATTTCATTATTAGCTCTGCCATGAACTTTCTCTCTGACCCAGGAAATGTAATCTGTTAATCACTGCACACTTCAATTACTCTATTTGCAAAACTGAGGAAGGATATTTAACTTTTCTTATGGCAATGTAAGAAGCATCAACTAGGAAAGGTAGAGAAACATGTCAGGATCCCTAACCAGGACAGTTTACTGCCTTGCTCCAGAATATCTGGCAATGAAAATTCAAGGGATTATGAAGTTGATTATGCAGCAGTAGAATTCCCTGAGGTGCACAAGTGAACAGATGAGTGTAAAACCCCAGGACCTTCACAGGATCTCTGTGTTTATGGCATTATAACACATGATATTAAAACACATGTGATGTCAGCTATATATATTTAAATTGCCTTTAAAGCAAAGCTATGAAATTATAGTCCTTATAGATGAATACCTAAACATGCATCATAATAATGAAAATTCTTTTTCTATTTTTACATATTAATGTTATAAATTTGTAATATATATATGGCTTTTATTCTGTTACCTAATTATATAGAACCATAGAACAGTTTGGGTTGGAAAGAATTTTAAGATCATCTAGTTCCAACCCCACTGCCATGGGCAAGGGACACCACACACTAGACCATGTCACCCATATGAGGATTCACTGTACCCAACCTACTTTTCTGTCTACTGGTATCCTTCTTGATATTTTTTCTTTTAATGCTTGTGTAAAATATTGATACTTCTGTTTTCCACAGAAGAGTTTTGATAGACAAAGTCCCAAATGGGAGGACCATGGCAGTGTCTTAGGCCCGTGCTTCAGACCATGTTGTCTGTATTGTTTTTCTGGGCTTTCATTTTGCCTTCTAGAGTAATTACTGAGCTCCTTCTTCCTTAAAACTGAAACTCTGAAGAGTGAACAAAGGAAATTTCTTTCTAAGACGGAAGCTTTTACCAAATGCAGAGATACCTGAAAACAGGAGATGTCAAAAGAGGTTTTGAACATATCTGCAAATTATATGCTTGTCATGTCCTAGAGTTGAATGCAGATGTTTGTTTAACCTGGTAAATCTCCAAGTTCAGTCTCTTTGAGCTCCTCTTTTACAGTTTTACATTCTCTGCTCCTCCACAGATGGTCCTTGCAGCTGGGGGATCTCTTGGACAAGTAGCATGCTGTTGGAAGTAAGAGGTGATTCAGCCAGAGTGCCTTGCATGGGTGTTCACATAGCCTTGGACAGTTTAATAGAAATAAAGCTGCATAAAATAGTGATTATTTTTCTCATCTAAAGTTTGGATCAGATTTGCATTACTCCTGTCACAGTGGAGGTGGTGGAAGCATGCAAAAAGAAAGGACAGAAGAGTGGGAAGCTTGTTTGGGCTCCAGCTCATTGTTAAGTCAATTTAGCTGTAATGTGAACCAGATGGTCAACTAGCACCACAAGAACAGACAGCAGCCACTTGTAATTGTACACTAATAACATTTATCAGTTCTCGTGAATGATTAACAACAGGTTTTATGCATTAGCCTTTAATTTCTGTTTTGAATGCAGATAAATTGAGCTACAAATGCATTTCTGGGCACCAAACTCTTCTGTCATCTCACTCAGCAGGCAGAATAGCCCAAGTAGATCACACATGCAGTAAAGCACGCTTTCATATAGTTTTAGCCATAGCAGCTGCTACTGTTTTATGTGTCATTGTAATTTTAATATAAAATATGTTAAGAAAAAGATAAATGAGTTGTGATATCTCTTCTGTCTTCATCAGCTGTTTTGGCTAATTAATTTCAACACATATAAAGTGCACTGACTTTGATTAATTTCACTCTGAGTACCAGTGAGGAGCAAAAATTTTTCAATATAAAAAATGGATATGAACTAGATAGCTGTGCTAAAATGATGAATGCAAAAGTGTCGCTTCCAGTTTCCAGAACTGAAATACTTGTTAAAGAAAAGTAATTCCTACAATAAAACCAAAAGACTGGCAAGAGCATAGGACTCACCATCACTGAAGTTCTGGAGCACAGTGTTATGTGTCACTGATTAATATTCCTTCCTCAGCCATTCAGCAGCCTGTGAAGCAGCAATCAAGCAAGGTAAACATACCACAAGGTACAGTGAATGAATCAGCACTAAAATAACATGTTGTTCTAAAAATGGCTTCAGCCCACTCCTGTCTTCCTAGTGCAAGTACTAGCGTCATCCTTTACAGCAGTGGAACTGCTAAGCATGTGGGTAATAATGTCAGCTGTGTACTCTGCAAGATGAAAGAAAAGCACAAGAGTTGGTCTCTTAAAAAAAGAAAAAAAGCAGTAGTTTCAACAAGGTTCTTTGCTGGTTTAACTTATGCCCACATGGAGAAGAGCTTTGAGGACAAACTGACGGATGGATAGGCATTAAGCCCTCAGTTACATTTTTCCAGGAACTCTGCTGGGGACAGGATGGATTCCCACAGATCCCATTGCCCATCCATGGGGTGGATTTTAACTCAGTGCACTTTTCTCAGCTATTTGTCTTTGTGAAATTAGATCATGTCTGTTTGCTCGACATAAATCATAGAATCATAGGACGGTTTGGGTTAGAAGGGGCCTTAAAACTCATATATGAACTAGAGAAACTACATCCAATACTCTACCAACTGACGCATACTGTGGAGCTAGCCAGAGCTAGCA